CTAGTAGCATCCTTGCTCCTAGTAGCGATGCCAGGAGCCCCTAGTAGCTTCTTGTCACTAGTAGTAAGGCCAGGAGCCCCTAGTTACTAGTAGTAAGGCCAGGAGCCCCTAGTAGCATCCTGGCTCCTAGCAGCGATGCCAGGAGCCCCGAGTAGCTTCTTGTTACTAGTGGTAAGGCCAGGAGCCCCTAGTAGCATCCTTGCTCCTAGTAGCGATGCCAGGAGCCCCCAGTAGCTTCTTGTTATTAGCAGTAAGGCCAGGAGCCCCTAGTAGCATCCTTGCTCTTAGTAGCGATGCCAGGAGCCCCTAGTAGCTTCTTGTTACTAGTAGTAAGGCCAGGAGCCCCTAGTAGCATCCTTGCTCCTAGTAGCGATGCCAGGAGCTCCTAGTAGCTTCTTGTTACTAGTAGTAAGGCCACGAGCCCCTAGTAGCATCCTTGCTCCTAGCAGCGATGCCAGGAGCCCCTAGTAGCTTCTTGTTACTAGTAGTAAGGCCAGGAGCCCCTAGTAGCATCCTTGCTCCTAGTAGCGATGCCAGGAGCCCCTAGTAGTTTCTTGTTACTAGTAGTAAGGCTAAGAGCACTACTAGTAGCGTCCTTGCCTTAAGATGCCTTGTGGTGTGTGGACCTTTTATATAGTATACCAGGGCATACCATTACTGAACGAGATGGATTGAGGATCAAACTCATCCGACCCAACATCCCAAAAGATTGCATGGCGATTACTGTAGATCCGATTTTTGAGCATGGGGAGTCTTAGGCCGCTGGTTGGAGTCCAAGGGGGTGACATCTTGGGAGTTGGTGCCCCAGAAAGGGGAAAAAAGAGTTGAGATCTACTTGGGACTTGTGTGATCGTGATCTTCTATGATTCTTGCTGAAACGTGGAAAGGGGGTAGGTCGGTCAGTCGGTCGGTCGGTCGGTCGGTCTGAATCTCACTTAAGGCTCATATCTCTGAATGCCCAGAAGCAGAAGGCGGAGGTGCAACCGGGCAGGTTTTTGCGGTTTAGTCGAGGCATGTAGAGGCTGTGTCTCAGGTCTCTCCGTTGTATGGTGTTCGAAAGGCCGTGGACAATCAATCAAGAAGTGCCCGTTTTTTCCATGTTCTTCATGGAAATAGCAATCAAGTCATGCCAGGCCGCTGCGCAGAACGCTCGGGCAGCAGGTTGGTGGCCAATCCGTTGACCTGGCAAAAAAGTCCTTGAGTGGTTGAAGAAGCCTCTAGGTCCCTAGGTGTTGTGCACTCCCAAATTCTGTTCATGTCCCTGTTCCAATTCGACTGATGGAGAATAAGGCAGCAGTATAGTGCTTGCAAAGCCACGAGCCTGTTCAAGGGGCATGGAGAGCCTTTCGGAGCTCATGTTCAGGAAAAAGAGCCAAGTCAAGGCAACCAGGTCGCTGCAAGATATGCTGAGAGTAGAAACATGGCACAAACATCGAAGTGTAGCGAAGCATGGTCACTTTGTGTTAGCTGTTAGCTGGTTGGGGCTGCTTCGAGAGGCTTCACGATGCCATCACCAGAGGCGACTGCGCGTTTCCGAGTGTTCTTACGGACTGGAGTTTGAATTGCCGCTTGAAGATGAGGCTGCAAGGAGGTTTTCTTTGGGTTTGCAATCATGTGTCCCGATCACCCTCAAGAGGACACAGTCACATTGGAAAGCGTTTGCACTCATGGTAATCCTGCAACTTCACTTCTACCCCATCGAGCCGTGGCTGAGACATGCGCAATCATTCTAGCTCAAGTTTCATCGAGCTGAAGACTGTACTTCTGCAATTCGTGCAGTCCAATCCGCCAGGAAGGGAAGCTCAAGCAGCCAAGACAAGCCGAGATGAGCCAGGCTCCCGGACTGCCTTTGCAAAGGCTCGAGAGATTCAAGCTTGGGGTTTGCGAACTGTATTAGAGACTTCTTCACCTTTGGGGACCACAGTCCACGGCAAAAGCTCTTGCTTGCAGCTGAAGAGCATTCAGCATCCAACGGCCAGATTGCTTGAGGTTCCAATTCAACATTTTTTTGCACGACGGAGGACGAGCAAGAAGCAGGTGAGCAGACTGTAGAATTCTTCGCATTTATCCTAGCATGCCATGCCCCTCAATCTCCCCACGACCCTGCCATGGCAGACGGGTCGGATGCAAATGATATCACACAAGTCATCAAATCCAGTCAGTCAATCATGGTCAGGGTGTGGACGGCCTTTGCTCGCCTTGCGAAGATCCAGACCTCTGTGTCGCTTATGCACTTTGTCCATTTTGTCGTCAGGCCAGAGTCCAGAGCGGGAACGGCAGAATCCCCTCAAAGGTTCAGTTGTAGTGGGTCCCGAACAGTTCGTCCTGCATGGTTATTTGTTCTACAATTACAAGGTTAATATAATGCTTTTATGTTCGGGATATTTTCTTTTGCTGGCACTGCACTGTTGCGCTTGGATGTCACTTTTCATGAAGCAGGCAGACACTTGGCACACCTTGGGCGTGCCACAGTGGCAGACCTACTGGAAGGTGCGTTTGACAGTCTTTTGTGTCTGTCATTCGGTGCGAGTGCAAAGCTAGTTGTAGCATGTTGTAGCCCTTTATATAATAGAACTGCCCGTTTGGAGACTGATCCAAGTTGGCAACCACTGCCGGTTCTGCAGAGTTCTTCTTGTCAACTTGTTGATAGCTCTTTGGTAGCAAAGTGCCGCAGGTCCTTGCCGCTTACGTTCTTTGCCCATGGTGCTTCCCTTGCCTAAACTTCTATGGGCGCTACCGTTTGCCCGACATGTATGCGCCGATCATGCATTGTGGGCCTTGTTTTGCCAGCGTAGAGGCATCGTGATATTGCCAGCTTTTAAATTTGGTGCCAGGCATCCGGCAAGCGTTTGGTATCCCGCTGGAGCCACACCGAGACTGCTGTGTTCATTGCCTTTGCTGTTGCTGTTGTACACCTTGCATCTTGGCCCAATTGGAGCACACTCCCGGTTGGTCTGTAGAGTCCTGTGACACAACCCCACGGTTGCAGATTGATTTGTGGCTTCAGGTGAACAACATAGGACCCGGCACTTGGCTTTGCACAGTCGCATTGTACTCCCAGGTGCACATTTGCAGGAAGCTCGCCTTGTAGATGCACCAGTTTTGTACTACCGCTGCAGGGGCGCCAATGCATGCTCTGTGCTGTGCAAGATTGTGTCACACTGTGTGTACCGAGTCTTGAAGCTCTAGGCCCGCTAGATGGGTGGACTAGTATGGACTAGTGAGAAGGCGCAAGATGCAGAAGGAGCGTTCTTGCAATTCACCAAGGCAAGCACAAACTGGCATTCTTCCACATTCGTGAAGCTCAATTGAAAGCCGAGAAAGCGGCTGCCGAGCTGGCTGAGCTGTAGAGATAGAGGTAGAGGTAGAGGGCGATATGAGCAAAGAACACAAAGCATGACCGCTCAAGCCGAACCAGAGGCAGCAGGCAGAGGCAGAGCTCAACTTAATGTTGACTGTTGACATTGTGAGCTTCCAATACCTTTTGACAATGCACATCAACAGGCCATTTACTGTAAGTCAAACCAGCCCAACAGCATGAAGGCAATGCATTGCACATCAAGATGCTGCAACATGCTGCAACGAATTCATTTGCGATTTCTGGGAGCCTTTGCGATGGTGTGAGGTCCTCGCGTGGTCTGCATTTGGCCAAGCCATTGCGACCCAAAGGTGCTCCAAAAGTAGGAGGAAGGATAAAGACTAATAAAGCAAAAAAAAGCTTCGCCTTCCTGTAGTAGCAATTGCTGTGATGCACCACCCCGTATACGGATGGTAATATGATGGCATCGAGGTTACCTGCATTCGTATCTCACTCTATATATATAACATTATATGACTAGACTATATAGTATTAACCTATGTCAAGATGCAAGTCTTGAACACTCTTTTCGAGCCTCTTCATGACTGCCAGTAACATTAGCTGAAAAGGATTGAAAAAGCATGTCATGTTCCCCCAGCACAATGGAGACCTAACCAAGCATGGACAGATTTGAAGGGTCCGTGAACAACTTTGAGCCACATTTGTCAGATAATCCTGCAGACTTAAGAGGTTCTTTTTCGAGCGGCCACCTGTCAAGCCGGAGCCGGAGAAAGGCCCATTGGAATGTTTCAGGGTGATCGCGTGCGGGCGAGTTGGGGAGTGAAAACATATGACAACTCTGACAGTCAGCGGGAGATAAGCCAGACGCTGCGAGAGAGAAAGAGAGAGAGAGAGAGAAAAAGACACAGAAACAGAAACAGAAACAGAAAGAGAGGGAGTCGCCTCAAGTTCGGCGTGATGACCTCTTGTGCAAGAGATTTGAACATCATCCCTGGCAGGTTGATGGAGTTGTCGCCGAAGGTAGCGCCTGTGGCGGCTGTGCAAGGCAAGCAGGCAGGGTCCGGGTGCAACAAATGCTGTGGGAGTGTATGGCATTGTATGGCCGTCAATGGCCGTGCGGTTGGCTGGTGCATGACAATTGCCTTTGTTGCTTGCCTGGTGGGCAGGCCCGACACAGTGTGCAACTCTCGGGGCAAACTGTTCTGCGGCTTGGTGGTCAAGTGGTGCGTATATTAATATATACACGCTACAAAATCGTTCTTGTGTATGCACATGAAAGACATGTTAGCATGCCCAGGCGGACGCTTCCTGGCACCAACCGTTGTGGTGCCAGTGCAATTGGTGTGGCTGTGCTGGTGCGGGACTTTGCGGTGCTTGTGTGAAAGCTGTATGAAGTCCTGAGTCGACCTGCATTTTGAGGCCACGACTATTGGTGGAGCCACTAGGAGAAGGGCCTTGCGAGCGAGCAAGCGATCTGCACGCAAGGCAGCATCCAAGGAAGTAGGCAGTAGTCCTCCTTGGTTGCTTCGTTTGGTGTTCTGCAATGGGTCACCATCCAAAGAGAATCTTGAACATGTTGGTGCCGTTGTCAGCGTTGGCAGGTCGTGACATCCCTAGTGCGGGCACTTAGATTGAAGAATCGTGGTTGCAACCATAATATTTCAAGACTCAGACACTCAAATACTCCAAGGTTTTAAGGAGTCCACATGGGGAAAAGACATGAAAAGAACCAAAAGCTTCAGAGCTGTGACATTTTTGGCTCAGTTTTGCTCCCGCCTTTGCTCCATAAGGCCTCCCAAGGCGATGATTTCGATGTGGTTGTGGTGGGTGCGGGCGTCTCCGGCCTCACGGCGGCCCACCGGTGCGCAAGGGTGGATTTGGGCAGAATAGCTGGTGTCTTTGAAACGCTTCACTCATAGCGTCCTTGCTCCTAGTAGTAAGGCCAGGAGCCCCTAGTAGCGTCCTTGCTCCTATAGTTCTGAAAATGAAGTTCTGATTGTCTCATTGTTCATTTGTGTTGGACATGGTGGACTGTGGGACCAAAGAAGGAGGTTTCCGTTCGCCTGTGTCCTTTGCTATGCACTGGCATTGTCGAACTCGGATCAATGATGGATGCCTCGTGGTGCATCTGAGATTCTGAACAAATTTTGCTCTTTTCGGCTCGAGTGGGGTGACGATATGGCGCTGCCAACGCTACGGAAGCCAGTCATTTGGCACTTGAAGCCGTTGGCTATTTTCACAAGTCCATGGGTCCAGACCAGCGTTCCATTGGTGGGGTTTGAATTTTGTGAGAGAATCCCAATGGAACTTTCTTGGAGGGCACTTTCTACCTTATGTGCAAGTACAAAAGGCACAATCTTGCCTAGTAACTAGTAAGTCTAGTATGGCTATGCCGGATATGCCTGTGGTTGAAAGCCTGGTTACTTGCCCCTGAGGTGTCAATCTCGAGGCCGAAGCGAGGCTGGATCAATCAAGCGAGGCTGAAAAGAATCATGGGACAGTCTGGTTCCGCTGTGAGTCTGTGTCATTTCAGTTTGATGTCCTTGCCTGCTGCTATGCAATCAGGTAGGCATGGCGTGTTTGCCGGTTTGGGGGAGGATGAGCCCAGCACCCTGGCCAAGAAACAGTTCCCAATGGGCCCTTCGGCAGCATTGCACAAGGGTCGCAAAACCAAGGCCTTGAGGAGTTTAAGCCGAGTCTCTTCTCAGAAGCCTCTACTTGGTCGCAAGCCAGCTGGACCGGGCCTCATCATATCAGTTGCTCCCTGTGGATTCAATGCTACAACTTAATGCCAGCGGTTGAGCAACAACAAAACACAGCTCTACACTGAAATTATTGGACCAAGCCATTTGCCATCACCAAGAAAGAATGTGTCCTTCTTTTTTCGAGCGGCTTCAGGACATCGGCCCTGTCGTCACAACCACGGAACATGGGCCCGTTTGACCCTGAAGAGACAGCGGACATGGAGCTGGCGCCCAGGGGTTGGGCAAGGCGGCACGATGTCCGGCTTCGCCGACTGCGATATGTTCTGCGTCAGCGTTTCACAAGCGAACCTGTTCTTTTGGGCCTTCAGCATGCAATTGTGAACAGTGAACATACAATTGCCTCCACTGTGGATCCGTCAAAGCAATTATCAGTCCCCGAGTCCCGATTGTATCTCCACATCCACCTGTCCGCAGATTGGAGTCCACCCATGTCCGCTCGGGTATCAGGCAAATACGGCCCGTTGACCATCGGACCACCGATGTGCGAGTGCCTCAGATCCCTTAGAGCGGATGCAAGAGAGGAAGCACTTGGTGGAATGAAGTGCCGTCACATGCGGTAGCCACGGTTGTCCACCATTGCAATATATGGCAATAAATCCCAAACTGCTGACATCTCAGGAAGCGCCTCCGCCCCGACGAGGCGGAACTTGCAGAGGCAAAGCGAGCCCTACGCGGCGTGAGACCTGGCGACGCTTGGAGGAGGTCTTGGGACCAAACTCCTTTTCTGCTGCAGGTGGCCACAGATAATGTTGCCGCATGTTTCGGTGCTTTTGGCAACCGCATGTTTGATGCACACTCCACAATATTCTTGAGCATGTGTGACCCACACTGAGACGAAGACGAGTTGAAAACATAGCTGCCTGCACAAACGCCAAGGATTGGAACTCCGAAGCGTTTGCACATTACAAGAAGAAACTTACGAAGGAGGTGAGGTGTCTACCGGGGGTCTATAGATGAAACGCCATGTGGGGGTCACTTGCCGTTGCGATGCACAATGCTAATCGCCCGTTTGAATGCATCGTGACCATCGTGCAGGGACGATGGCTTGCGCTGCCTGGTCTTGTGGATATGGTTCGTCGGACATCGGACGAAGCATTGAAGGAGACTTGGTGGAACATTTGCGGACTGAGCTTTGGAACCGTTTTTTTGGTTCTTTTTCAAGATTCAAGTTGCAGATTTAACATAGCAGATTTAACATAGCAGATGATGAGGAAGCGTGCTACTTGTTGCCATGATGGTGTCTGAAGGGTAGCATACGTCCGTATATATATATATATACGTGTCTAAACAATTCACACATCCAGATACAAACAAATCTTGTACCACAGACCGGTTGGGGCGGTGGGCTAACCTTCCATGATGCCGTTTTGTTGCCTTTTCTCAGGCAGGAGGCTATTGCCTTCCAAAGAACAAGACTGCGCAGGCTCTGCAAATCGTGCCTGTCCTATGACCGCGCCATGAATCACACAATTCTATTGCTCCAGGTGAGGCTGCCACAGAAGCCCAGTGTGCAGTGGGTGAGCATGGAGAGCTGCACAGAGCCAGATCCATGCCAAGGAGTTGTACCTCCACCGTGTCTTGGCAAGAAGCATGAGATGTTGTTAACACTGGTTGTTGCTGTGGCACAGGTTGGTAGTCTCTCACAAGACGCCGCTGGAGGCTGCAGGCATTGGTGAGCTGTGGTATTGTGAAAGAACAGCCAAAATGCCCAATGGACCTTTGCACATCAATTTGCGGGCTGTCCTAAGCTGCAGTCTTGCGGGGACATTGGGAACCTGGGAACCTTTAGTTGAGCTGCACGCTAATTTGTGCCCTTTCTGGCTGGACACTGGCTGTCAAGGCGTTTTGGGCAAGCACTTTGAGGGCCATCCATTGATCGTCACCTTCGAGGCAGAGATGCTGGTTTTCATCTCTGACAATGTTAAGAAAGCTGTTTCTTGGCGAAGGCCACGGAGTTTGACACCGGAGCGGAATCGGAAATGAAGAAGGGACAAATCTTGGAGGGCGAGGCGCGATTCTAGTGATGAGGGAATTCCACGCAACACCACTTCCTTTTATTGAGGAAATTTGGCAGTGCAGTCTTCCGGTTGACTTTGGGGTAAACTGCAAACAACCAATGACCCACGAAGCAGCACAACTGGCACAACTTGATAAATCTACAATAGGTGCCTCAAGGTAGATTTTGCACAGATTTTGCCAGTAGTAAGACGCAGAAAGCCGCCATGGGTCTTGCCTTCACCAAGATATGGCAGCGAATGATTGGGAAGCAGGAGATGCGAATCCTGATGGTGGGTTTGGATGCTGCAGGTAAGACGACGATCCTCTACAAGCTGAAGCTCGGTGAGGTTGTGACAACAATCCCAACCATTGGCTTTAACGTGGAGACTGTGGAGTATAAGAACCTGTCCTTCACCGTTTCCTGGGATTGCTGAAGCATATTTTTTGTTTCCTCATTTGGGGAACTCCCTTGCAAACAACGGTGCCGTTGAGATACACATTTTGTGATCTCCAGGACTCTCAAGCCAATTTAAGGGGAATCCTAGCCATTGTTTGCTGCACAACAAAATCACGCGCTTGAGGTGTGGGACGTCGGAGGCCAGGACAAGATCCGCCCTTTGTGGCGACACTACTATCAAGGCACCAACGGTCTAATCTACGTTGTGGACAGCAATGACCGTGATCGCATTGAGGATGCTCGCGAAGAGTTGACGAAAATGCTCAACGAAGACGAGATGCGAGATGCCGTGCTGCTGGTCTTTGCGAATAAGCAGGACTGAGAGCACACAAAAAGAAACAAGATCACACAATATCATATACTGTAGTTCATGCAG